GAGGAGTGTGCCAGTTTGCAGGGCTGTGGTAAATTTTAATACATGTGCTGCATATGATCTGCTACCCATCAGCAGATCATTAAGTGCTTAGGCAAGGATTGGAAGAAAAAAGGATAAACTTCCCCTGAGACCTGGGTCTTATCGGTATGCCAAGCCAAATTTTTAATTTGGAGAGCAATTCTGCAGAAATGAACAGAAACTGCTACCTAAACATTTTAATAAGAATAAGCCCCTGAGCCAATGTGCAATCAAGCACACTGCTTTCCAGTAATTTCATTTCTACAACCGTTCCACAAGCCGCTTCTCCACATTCAGATAACCCTCACCTCTAGGGGGACCATAAAATGATATTTTAATAATGTGCCACATCTGTGATCAGAAATACTTAATGAAACACTCTCATGATCATGGTAACAAGCTTCAAAGAACTATTTTCCAGATTGAGACAAAACCGGTGGTAACTTTCATTGGCACATTTTTCAATATTGTCTGCAAGCAATCATAAAATCATACCTATGGTAAGTGCTTCAAGGGAGGGCCAGCATGTTTTTCAGCTGTGAGGCCCTGCTGGCTCCCACAAAACTTGTCCATCAGTGCTCTCCAGCAGAAACATAGCTCAAGCTGTGTGTGTAATGTAAAATTTTCTAGAAGCCACATCAAGAAAGGTACAAAGAAATAGGTGAAATTAATTCTAATAATACATTTTACTTAACACAATAGAGCCATGAGATTATCATTTCCATGTGTAATCAATATCAAAACATTATTAATGAGATATTTTACATTTTTTTATACTGAGTCTTTAAAATCTGTTGTGCATTTTACATTTATAGCACGTCTCCATTGAGAGCAGCCACATTTCAGGGCTGGGAGGCCACGTGTGGCTGGTGTTGAGTGGTACCGCTCTAGAACAAAGGGCTTCTGAAAGGGTGGGCTGCAGCCATCGGCTTCCAGAGAAGCCTGAGGTTCTTCATAAGAAGGTTTGATTCCTGAGCCTTATCCTTGACCTTCGGATCATCTCTCTGGGGATGGCGCTAAGGAGTTTGCATCGTTTAACAAGTTCCTTAGCTGGGTCTTTGTGTACTAACACTTGAGGACATTTGTTAGGCTACTGGTCCAAATTTTGCTCACATCACCTCGCCACCCCCACCACGCGGTCACATGTACCAGGAGACACCATTCCACAACCCTGCCTATTCTGTTCTTGACTCATAGAGTCTGTCTTGAACACTAGCTATATGGATTACATACCTGGACTATTCTCGGCCCTGGGGACAGAGTGATAAACAGCACAGGCAAAGTCTCTGCCATTTTGAAGCTCACGTTCCAGTGGAGGAGATAGTAAACAAGTAAGCAAAGGGGTACTCATGTAAGTGGTGGTAAGTACAGAGGAGAAATGAAAGGAAGGGCAGGGACGGTGCGTGGGGTAGAGAAGGACTGGGCTCCTATGCAGACGTCGTGTGGTGGTTCTTGAGGGCTCCGTGAGGAGGTGACCATTGGCAGCCGCTGGATGAAAGGAGGGAGCAGCACAGAGCGGTCTGGGGGAAGGGCACTGTGCTGGAGCAGCTGCAGCCCCTCCTGGCTGGTGTGGCCGGAGCTGGGTGAGCAAAGGGAAGAGTGCAGAGAGGATGCAGGCTCCCACCAGTGCACAAGCCCTGCAAGGCCGTGCCGAGGCATCTGGGGGTTGTCCTAAGAGCAATGAAAATGCCCTGGTGGCTTTTAAGCAAGAGCATGTGACACAGAGCTGATGGAGGGGGCCATGGATGCTGTCCAGGAGTGAGGTGGTGCTGGCCCAGACAGCAGGGACACCACAGGGATGGTGGGCAGTGACAAGAGGTGGGATGTACATCAAAGCAGAGCTGAGGGAACTTGGTAGAACAATTGGCCGCAAGGTGGGAGGGAAGAGAGGAACGGAGGACAGCACCTTCCTTTGAGGCCAGAGTGATGGGTGGGAAATGTACTGAGATGCGGAAGCTGTGGGGTGGTGAGTGACTCTAAAACTTCACAGATTCCCTTTTCTCAAGCAGTGAGGTTCTCAGCATGGAAAGAATCCTATTTTAGTTCAAATGGAAGAGGAAGGAGGAGTGCCCTTGTTATATGTCTTAACTTCACCTGGTCTGTCATTGTGCTGTGCCCCACAGGGGACATAGAAGAGGTTAAGACACTTTCCTGTCCTCAGGAGTTGATTCTTCCCAGAGCGCCCACACTGTCTGTCCACCCAGCTCTCTTTGGCTCCTGCGAGAGCTGATAGCTGGTGAGGCAGGCACAGAGTCCTGAAACTGCCCCACATCTACACGGTCCCTTCCCCATGAGGGTGAGCAGCACCTGCAGTATGATTTCACTAAGTCACATCATAAGGTCTAGGTGAAGGGATTTTGCAGATGTAACTAAGGTTCCCAAACAGTTGACTAAGTTAAAAGGAAGCTTGCCCTGGGTGGGCCTGACCTAACCAGGTAAGCCCTGTGAAACTGGGTCTACAGGTCTGAGATGAAAGAAAACACCAAAGATGCCCTCCTGGTGGCCTTAAAGGAAAAAACTTACATGTTGCAGAGAAGGCCAGGTGTCAGGGCAAAGGAGCTGAGGGCTTAGTCCTACAGCCGCAAAGCACCGAGTTCTGCCAACAATCCATGAGCCTGGAAGAGAACCCTGAGCCTCAGCGGAGATCACAGCTCAGGCCAACGCCTTGATTAAAATCTGGGGAGGCCCTGAGCAGAGGACCAGCTCCGCTGTGAGGACCTCTGGCCCATGGAAACTGAGATGGTAAACGTGTGTGGTTTTAAGTCACTATGTTTGTGGGACTTCATTATGCAGCAATAGAAAACAAATACAGTCAGGTAACAATAATAGATATAATACATACGGCAAGGGCAGGTAATAATATTCAGCACTTATTGTGTACCAAACATTTTTAATTGCTTATCCCACTCTTCTTCACCGCAAGCCCATACATTTGGCACTGTTATGGTACCAATTTTTCACAGGTGAAAACTGAGGCTTAGGGAGAGTCACAGAGCTGATGATGTGACAGAGCAGAGACTCACCCAGGCCTGGAGCTCTGAAGACAGAGTTTGACCACTTCCAGCGCTACCTCCAGTTACTGGAGTGCCGTCCTGCAGGAGGTCCGCTCCTGAGACCCTCTTCTTTCTACCTGGGGAGCCTGCTCCAGCTGCATCTCAGCCCCTCGTGCCCTTAGTCACACACACTCCACCTAGGCCACCATCTGCAGAGCTTCTGATGGTCATCTTATCATTTCCTCTCCTTGCACTCTGAGGTTTCATGGTCAGGTTGGACAGCGTGACCTCTAGGAGCTAAGGTGTCCCCAAGCTCCGCTGGGAATATTCTGACCTAGCCCACCCTTAGGGTGACCAACTCATTTGGTTCCCCCAGGACTGTCCCAGTTTTAAAACTGAAAGCCCCACCTCAAGGTACTCCTCCAGGAACCCCTCAAGGAACCCCCCAGTCCCAGGCAAACTGGGACAATCAAACACCCTTCCGCCCTGCAAACCACGCCCAGGCTGACACAGGCCTGGGGTTCACTGCCACCCTGCAGCTTGCTGTAACCTTTTCTCACCAAAAGGAAAAGAAATGGCCAGCTAGGATATTCGAGTCCTGCTCTCGAGAGGGAGCTAAGAGCGGAAGCAGCTCTACGAAAGTACCTGGAATCAAGAAGTACCCGCTGGGTTGGGTATAGCAGTGACAGCTCAGGTGGGGCTTTGGCCTGGGCCATCAGACAGGCCACAAAACCATGTCCGTGTGGGGTTCTTCCCCTGAATCCAGAGATCTGCTGCCTTGAGTGTCACACATGAAGTGCATCGATCCAACAACATACAGGCCAGACTCCATCCACTCCCGAATCAGGCAACTCAGAAAAACCTTGGGGAGGTTCGGCCCCTGGATTTGCCCCTTCTTAAAACTGGGACCCTCATGGGACTCAATTGGGGATTAAGGGCACTTGCTTTTTGCTGGTTTCCACAATTGAGAACTCAGTCCTAATGAGTTGACTCCCCTTTAGGAGCTGGCTTCTCTCTGTCAGGTGTCCTGGACTCTTGGCCACACGCGGTCATCTTCCAAACCGTACTCTTTGTGCCAAGGGACACCAGGTGTGACAGTGGTTAGACCATTATGAGTCTGTTCACAATATGGGAAATGGCTTAACACACATATTTTATTAAATACTGCCAGCCGGCAATCCATGATCTCATTCATTCATTCACTTGTCCAACCAATATTTGGGGACACCTACGATGGACTGGGCATTATCACAGGCACTGACACTGAGTTATAGCACATTTCAAACTGGGCACGATGCTAGACATAGGATGCCAGCCTAGTCCTCATGGGTGGTGAGTAGGGAGTACACAACCAACAAAAGATTCTTAAGGTAGTCTGTTTGTTTATAGTGTATTTTTTTTGCACTATCCGCAATTTATCTCATTGAAACCATTGAGAAAAAACACATCTCAATGACATAAAGCTCACACCTACAGTCCCCTATAAGATATCAGTTTACAAGATGTTCCTTTGAGTTCTCAAATTGTTTGAGTCATGGGGTCCCTGCTATGAGCCCATCTCTGAGCTTGGCACAGGAAAAGAAAAATAAATAGGACGTTAGGGATATTCAAGAGCTAGTGACATAGTGGGGAAGAGTGACACATCTTAATAAATATATTTACAGTGTAAGATGGACTTGTTGTGGTTGAGACGTGCATAGGTTGCTGTGGGAGGTCAGAGACCAACACTAGACCAATCTGGAGTTAGGGAAGGCTAAATTTCAAATAATACATGAAAATATAAACAAGAGGCTAAAACTTACCCAAACTCTCTTCACCCAGAGATAATCACAGTTGATATTTTGGTGAATACCCTTCTAGGCATCTGTGTGTGTGTGTGTGTGTGTGTGTGTGTGTGTGTAGTGTATGTTTTATTATCATCATTTTCGTGGAGAAAAACAACCTAGTTGTTCAACTGTAGCAGTAGACCCACAAAAAAACTCAACCATCAACCTAAAACATGTCTCTGCATTTTATTTTAGGAAAACATAAATCAGGTCCCAAAACATCTTCAGAACGCAGGATAAGTCAAGGAGCATGCGGAATCCATCTGAGTAACGAATCTGGGGCCGCCGCCATTTTCGAGGGCAGAGCTGACACAGGTATTTTCTTCCAGGAAAAGCAAGGTTAACTCAAGCTGCAAAGCCCAGATGGTCATTAGATCTATTTCCTTTCTAAAGAGGAGCTGCATCTCTTCGGGGTGAGTTATGACGACATCTAGGTATTGATCAGATGAGAGCACTGACGCTGCACTCAGCGGACAGTTAGGGGATGAGAAGCAGAGGGGAGATGGTGGTGGTGATGGTCTTTATGTAGTTTTCAAAGTCACTTCCGAAACAGAGGGTGAGGTAATAGTTGAATATGCCAGCAAGGGACATGAGGAACAGAAACAGGATGATACGTTTTCCAAAGATGTAGCCAGGTATGCTGAAAAAGAAGGGAAAGGGAAACTGTGGAAGCAGCACAAGTGACACCAATTTCACCCCAAAATAGTTATCACTTTGAGATATGCGGGTTTAAGTCACGGCTCCTTTTACTCAAGGATGCCCCATTTCCTTCATAGGAAGGATGAAAGTGTCTTAGCTATTAGTAGTTGTTGAACGTATTTCAAAACCAAGGTAAAGGAGCCCAGACCTCAAACCCATCATGGTTAGTGCTCTGCTCCTTGGTGCCTCTGCTGCCCTGAACTTCAGTTCCTCGATGGCCGAAGGTGGCGGGTCCTGCTGGTCACCAGGCATCCTGACTGGGGATTAGAAACCTCATGGACTCATGGAGACCCTCTCTGCACACCTCCCCTCCAGGAGTGCCTGTGAGGGCCGGACTGGCAGCTGTGTATACTGCAGGCCTTTACGGACCTCTAGGAGAGAGGGGATGATTTAAAAGGCTGGAGGAATGTAAAAGGTGCTTTGGCATCTGAGGACTCCACCTGCCTGAAAAGAATTCATGTTCACTCCAATGAGAGCTGGGCCCCCGGCAATGGAAGACAGACATTTTAAGTGAATGGAGAGGGAGAGGCTTTTTATACATTCATATCCTTCTATCAAAGGCTTGAAATCCTAAGCTAGGGTCAGGAGGCATTTCCCCAGGGATGTGACTGCCTAATTGTGCACAGCTGCCAGCCCGGCTTCCTCCCTCTGTCTGCTGAATCATGTGACCGCCGTGCCAGGTCCATCTGTGTAGCACTAGCCAAGTCCAGCCAAATGGCCCATTAAGGCTGTTAGTATTCACCCCGGTGAGGGGACCCTTTGACAACCAGGACCCCTCAAAAGGGACAGCTAGCTCGGCTAAACAGGTGAGCTAATGCTTCTGAGCCTGTTGCTTGCTACAATCTGGGAAAGCAAATTTGGCATCCATGGGTTTAATGTTAGAAATTGTATCTTTTTGAAAGAGAGCCAAAGACTCACAACATAACCCACAATTATCCCATGTAAAGCATTTAAAATCATTCAGCAGCTGAACCTCCTTGCTACTCAAAGTGTGATCCGTGGACCAGCAGCACAATGAGCTTGTTAGAGATGCAGGATCTCAGGCCCCTCCCGGATGGACCCTAACAGAGACTGCATTTTAACAAGCTCCCTCCCTGTCTCCCGGGCATGGTCAAGTTTGAGAAGCACTGCCAGCTGAGGCACCCCTGCTCCTTGGCCACTTGTGTTCTCTCCTTGGCTTTCTTGGCTCACAGTCATGCTTAGGAAGTGAGATCTCTTTTTGGGGGGAAAAAAGTGTGGTCCCAAAAGAGACCATTATGGGCTGAATTGTGTCCTGCTCCAATTCATGTGTTGAAGTCCTAAATTCCAGGAACTCAGAATATGACTGTATTTGGAGGTAGGGTCTTTAAAGAGATAATGAAGATAAAATGAGGTAACCAGTGTGGACCCTGTCTCAATCTGACCGGTGCCCTTATAAGAAGATTGGGACACAGATACGCACCAAGAAATGACCATGTGAGGGCACAGGCAGAAGATGACCATCTACATGCTAAGAAGAGAGTCCTCAAGAGAAAGTAACATCCAGAGACCTGTGAGACACTAAATTTCCATTGTGTGAGACACCCAGCCTGTGACACTTTGTTGTGGTAGCCCTGGCAGACGAATACCAAGTTACCTAATGATGCTAGTAAGGAAGTGAAAAGAAAGCAAGGGGGTCTATTTTTCTGACAAAGAACAGAGGGTTCAGAGGGATTCAATTGTGAAAAGTCAGATATTATGGTGGCTCCGATTTATCACACGAGCGAGGCCACCATGTGCTCATTACACAAACAAGAAAAAGTGATTTGCGAAGCCGTTTCAGAACGTGCTCAAGATAGCTCTGTGGTAAAAGATGACATGGCAGTGCCTCCTGATGGCATGGTGGTATTCCTGAATTTGGGTAATATTTTTCAATGGAGTCAAGGCATACCACCCCCACAGGAGATGGGCCCATCGTGCTTTAACTCTCCCCAGGCCTTGCAAAGGTGTGGAAGGCAAGAACTCAGCACACACCCACCAGGTGCAGGGCTGAATGTGAGCTGGGCCCCCAGCTGGTCTCTCAAGCCTGGAGATGGGTTACGGCCCTGGGGGGTGTGCAGGATGTCCATCGGTGGAGACCTTCCCTAGGCTCAGGCAGAGCCACAGAGATCCTGCAAGGAGGCAGAGTGCAGAAGAGCTAGGGGCCTGACGGTGCACATGCTGCATATCAGACTTGAAACCAGCAAGACTTCTCTTTAATTGTTTCTAAGAGCTGATGCATATCCCAGACCAGAAAAAGCTAAAAGAGTTAATCACCACCAAACCAGTATTACAAGGATGTTAAAGGGACTTCTTTAAGTAGAAGAAGGGAAAAGCAAACACCAAAACTATAAATAATAAAATGGCAATAACTATATACCTGCCAATAACTACTTTAAATGTAAATGGATTAAATGCTCCAATCAAAAGACATAGGATGGCTGAATGGATATGAAAATAATACCCTTACATATGCTGCCTACAAGAGACCCACTTCCAATGGAAAGACACACAGACTAAAAGTAAAGGGATGGGAAAAGATATTTCATGTAAATGGAAATGAAAAAAAAGAAACCCTGGAGTAGCAATATTTATATCAGAGAAAATAGACTTTAAAACAAGAACTATAGGGCCGGTCGAGTGGTGTGTTGGTTAAGAGCCGGCTTGGGACGCCAGAGGGCCCCAGTTCGGATCCCACATATGAGGGCCAGTGACACTGCCCTCTACAGCTAAGATGCTGGACAACAGCCAACCTGGAGCAGGGCTGCCATTGGTCGCCGGCAATGGCATAGGCTGCAGCCATTGCTGCAGTGGTTTGCCATGGGCTACCGTGTGTAGCCAGCAGCCAGCGTGAGTGGCCAAGCAGCCGCCATGAGTGACTGTCCAGAAGCCGGTGACTGATCTGCCTTGCCCGGGAAGAGTGCAATGATGGTGCCAACTTGGGCCAGTGAAGCCCAAAACTGAAGAACAAAAGGACAGCAGCTTATGTGTTCCCCCTCCCACAATTCTCCAGCACTGTTCCCATCCCCCAATTCCCCAATAAAAAATCTTAAAAAAAACAAAAACAAGATCTATAACAAGAAACAAAGAACATTTCATAAACAATGGCCAAGATGCAGAAGCAACCGAAGTGTCCATAGATAGACAAATGGATAAAGAAGGTGTGGTACATATATACAATGAAGTATTACTTGGCCATAAAAAAGAATAAAATGTTACCATTTGCAACAACATGGATGGACCTAGAGGGTATTATGCTAAGTGAAATAAGGCAGATAGAGAACAACAAATACCACATGATTTCACTTACATGTAGACTATAAAAAAATAAAAAATAAATGAACAAAATGGAAACAGATGGAGACCTTTCCCAGGCTCAGAGAACAAACTGATGGTTTCCAGGTGGGAGGAGGGTTGGGGGGCTGGGTGAAAAAGCTGAAGGGAATAAGAAGTACAAATTGGTAGTTATAAAAATAGTCACGGGCATGTAAAGTACAGCGTAGACAATATAGTCAATAATATTGTAATAACTATATATGGTATCAGATGAGTACTAGATTTATCAGGGTAATCATTTTGTAAGTTATATAAATATCTAATCACTATGCTCTACACCTGAAACTAATATAATATTGAATGTCAACTGTAACTGAAACAAAATTTTTTTAAATAATAATAAAAATAAATAAATAAATAAACAAACAAACAAATAAATAAAAGTTGACACACAGTTCTCTCTAAATGGTGTGGGGAAGGTCAGAATGAACTAATTAAGCATTTGTAGGGACCAGGCATTTTATATCTATGACTTCATTCAATTCTCAAAACAGCTCCATGAGGTATGATTAACCTATTTTCCAGGTGGGAAAATGGAACACAGATAGGTTAAGTGATTTGCCTAAGGTCACACAGCCAGGAAGAGGCAGAGTGGGAATTCAGACCTGTGTGTGAGGTCAGAGTCCTGCTCTTTCTCCCATACTGAGTCCCTTCAGATTCAACAAATCTGAAACAAATGTGCCCACCCCCACTCCCAACACACACAGCATAAAACCCACAGGAAAACATAAAAGAGGCATTGTGCCAAACAATTCCCATCTCAAATGTGCCTAAAGCTTCCAGGAAGAGGAGCTGTGGTGCCAGGGAGGTGAACCCAGGCATCCGGAGACCTGAGCTCCAGCCCAGCTCACTGCTGTTTGGCTTTGGGTGACTCGCCGACCCTCCTTCACCTCTCACAAAAATGCACATGAAATATGGGTAGAAAAGGAAAACTTCATGGTCCCTCTGGCTTTAAAATTCTGTTCCTTTCAATAAGAAAATATCGCTTTACACCTGGTAACTTCTGAAGAGAATAAAAATTGTAAGATCCAGGGCCAGTTGAGTGGCTCAGTTGGTTAAGAGTTACCTTAAGAGTGCGAGTTCTGAGCGACAGGGTCGCCGGTTCAATTCCCACATGGGCCAGTGATGCTGCGCCTGAGCTGAGCTGCCGATGAGCTGCCATTAGGTGGCAGGATGGCTCAGCTGGTGAGAGCACGTGCTCCTAACAACAAGACTGCCTGTTCAATAGTGGGCAACGCCCGCCCACAACTAAGACTGAACTCGACACCTTGAGCTAAGCTGCCATCTGGATGGCTCAGTGGATAGAGCATGCGCTCTTAACAACGAGGCTGCTGGTTTGACTCCCACATGGGATGGTGGCTACACTCACCCACAACTGAGATTGTAACACAGCACTTTGAACTTAGAGGCCATGAGCTGCTGCCGGGCAGCCAGATGGTGACTGGCGCACTCCACAACTAAGATTGAAGAACAACAACTTGGTTGGTCCCCCTCCCCAATTCCCCAACACCGTTCCCCTCCCCCAATTCCCCAACTTAAAAAAAAATTGTAAGATCCATGAGAGCAGGAAATTGTCCCCTTTGTTCACTCACGTATCTGCAATAAATCAGGCCCTCCACAAATGTGTGTCACGTGAATGAATCATTCTCAGAAAAGAGGCATGAGCAACCCGCGGGGGTTCCCAATGTCTGTATGTATAAGACTCACCTGAAGAAGTTGTTGAAATACAGATTCCTGGTCCCCACCCCAGAGATTCCAGTTCCTTAAGTCCAGGATGGGACCCTGGAATCTGCTGTGTTCACTTTGGAAACACCAGCCTTGACACCTGTACTCTCTCCCAGGGGTTCCAAAAGAAGCAAGTTCACCTTCCAACTCTGGTGACATAACCCCTGTTCCACGTTTTGGGGGTGGAGGAGGGGGGGCAGAGACTCTAAATATTGACGCTAAGGGGAAAAATGGCTGCGAGGGATCAGTTCTTTTGAAAACTGTGCCCCTTGTTATGTCTGTCTGTCAGTTTAATGTTTCTGGTCTTGCTCCGTGCCCCTGATCCCTGGGTTCCTTGGGGGAATGGCTCTGTTGTGCTTATTGTTAGCGTCTCAGCAGTTGACACAGTAGGTGGCTTGGAGCAGGTGGTCAGTAAGTATGTCCTCAATGGATGCTGAGTGAGCGAGGAGCGAGCAAGCCATGAAGAGAAGGGGGAGCTGGGAGACCTGAGCTCCTGGGCCTCTGCACTCGCCCACCTTTGCCCACCCGCCCCTGAGCTGAGAACCTCAAACTGCAAAGAAGAATTTAGTAGGGGTTCCAACAGGGGATAGGGCTCTGCGAGACAGAAAGAAAGAGCAGCCTAGTGCCAGCTGGTGCAGGGAGGTGATAAAAGTCAGATAGTCTTGTAATATGATGCCGACTGCCATTGAGTTTGGGCCCAGGCAGTAGCTTAGGATGAACAGGGAAGAAACTAACATTCATCCTTAACTGCCCTGTAGGTAGGGAAGCTACAGACGACCTACATGTAATCAGGACAGGGAGAAAGAGGGTGGGCAGTAAGATGTAGGGCTGAGAAGAGCCATAAGCTCCTGAGGGGGAGAGGGGGTAAAGGAGGGAGCTGCAAAATCCATGAAGGAAGAAGCTTTGGTGGGAGAGACACACCGAGGATGTCTTCCTTACTCACTGGACCAAAAACAACACTGGAGCTTCTGAAGGGGACAGGGCCAAAGCAACTTCTCGGGAGAAGCAGAGATGACCTAGAGTCCAAGGGAGAAATTCTTGGGAAAGGATCTCACTGAGCAGGGCGTTCCTCCATTGGTGAGGCCAAGAATTAAGCAGATACGGAAGGCATTAGGGCATAAGGCATGCATAGAGTCCAAGTGTGACACAGCCAGGGACAGAGGAGGGTAGATGAAAGGGGTGGGCGGCACGATGGAAGAGGGTATTAGCAAGTAGTTTCTAGAAGGCATAATTCGAAACCCCTTGGACCTAGCCACTGAGTCCCTCAGGCTTGCATCCACCTCAGGTTATATTTTGGTCTCAAGGATTAGATGTCTCATCTAGGGTAGGGGTCGGCAAATGCGGCTCGCGAGCCACATGCAGCTCTTTGGGTACGTACATGTGGCTCTGAAGTAAAATTAAAAATGAAAATAAAACTATCATAGTTTCATTTATAATATTACTTTAAATTTTCCTGATTAGTAAAAATATATTTATGGCTCTCGAATAACTTTTAAATTGTTGTGAGGGACAGGATTGGCTCTTCCAGGGGTTGGCAAACTTTTGAAATGGAACGTACCCAAAGAGCCGCATGTGGCTCACGAGCCGCAATTTGCCAACCCTTGATCTAGAATACTGTTTCTATCCATGGCAACTGCTCAGAACTTCATGTGAAGAAGCATCATGAGGCCACGTTTGGTCTCAGCAAGAAGGTGAGTAATTGACTGATTAGTAATGACTGCCAGGGACATAGGATAGGTGAGGAGGGTCTAAACTAGCACAGCACTGGGGGAAGAGGGAGACCAGGAAGGCATTTCAGAGGTTAGGCTATTTACATTTCAATGAGGTCCCGAGAAAGAAAATATTTTCAGATTTTAAGTGTATATTCTACTGTTCCTTTTTGCCACCTCTGTCCATTCCCTAGTGGTAATTACCTTTAACATGAAAAGAGCCTGTGGGTAAATGGACAAATGTTGTCATGCTCCACAGTTCATCTTAGAATTAATGCAGCTTTAAGATCTCAGAAGCGGTGACTGATGAAGAAGAATGACTGGGCCAAATCTGGGTCTTTGGGAGAGAAAAACAGGGCTGCAGGGGGAGCCAGCCCACAGGAGCAGAACCCCCTTATTTCACTGATAGACTCATGGCCTACCACCACCACCCGTAAACTCTTGATAGCGGGTAATCTCCTGGGGAGGGCAGAATAGAGGCTTTCCAAGGTAAAAGAACAAAGTCTATCATTCAGGGAAGTGTTGATAAGGATAAGAGAGAGAATGGATTTGTGGTTTTAGAGGATAAATGAGCAGGCCACTAGAGAGGAGTGAAGGGGACTTGAATGTGGAGGAGGAACTGCTGGGAGTCATTCTTCACCTGGCTGCCACTCACCATCCAACCACCCTGTCATTTAGCTTTGCAGGCTCCCAGCTGCCCACAGGTAGTGCTTTCTTTCGTGACCTCTCAGGATGTCACTGCCTTTGTCACCACTGAAGGATGCTATCCAAACGGAGAGCCCATTAGCCATCTAGAGAAGTGTGCTATTGTGAAAGACGGGGAGGCATGTGACAACCAGGCAAGGAAGAAAACGGAAGGGAAAGCCAGGCTGGACGTGTGGGCGGCTGCCTCCCAGCACATATTCCTGGCCCTCGGAGCCCGTCTGGTACGCTAGGAATCCTGTTCTCTTAGGCACACTGTCACTTGAGCATTTCTTCTGCAAGTGCCATTATTTATTTGACGCAATCGGATTTCCCAATCCAGGTGGAGTGGAAGTGTTACTGCTGCTTTGGCACCACCTGTAAGCCATGCGACGGTGATTGTTCTTGGTCCCTATCCTCTGCCTGTGATAGCATCTTATTTTCCCAACATTCCTTCTGCTGGTCCCCAGATCTGTTACTCAGAGAGCTTATCACAAGGTGCAAGCTTTAGTTGTCATGTCTTTAGGCAAACAATGAAAGGCTTCACTCACTGGAGGCCTGGGGAAGCCAGACAGAGAAGATCATTCAAGCCCGCAACTCTGAAGGGTGGGAGTGGAGGGTGTGGGGTTGCAAGGAATGTGCAGCACATGGTGTTAAAGCATCCTTTGTGAGCACAGCGCCATGGGAGGAAGCGTTTGACGGGACACTAGTCAAGGCCCCCAGCTGTATTTTCAGAGTCAGCGAAGTTCAGGGAGAAAAGGCAGAGGGATCCTCGTCAGCCTTGCCCTCTCCAGGGGTCCCGCAGACCTCTGAATGCTGGGTGGAATATGGCTGTGAGTGATCACTGTTCGTGCTCACAAAACCTGAAGACTCGCTCTGTGGTCCTGAAACAACCCCAGTGCCTACCTCTGAGTTCTCTCTCCCAGGTAGCCGACGAAGTACTTCTGCCTCACGAACAGGTACATCAGACCAGCAAAGGCGGCAGGAGCTACGTGGAGGAAGAAAAACACCTGTGTTAGTTTCAGAGATGCCAGGACAGCTAAGTTAACACAATATGAATGCAGTCATTGTGCAATGACAGTTGGTCACAAAATCTAGCAGAGGCCTCAAGTGCTGACAATCGGGGCTGATGTGAACTTCAGCAGACAGCCTCGGGCTGGAGGAAATCTGAGCACTTTGATAACAGTGGTTTTACTTTATATGGGTACCGTGGTATAGTTTACAACGTATTTTCATATCCATCACCTAATTTGAATCCTTTCCATGTGACCAGTATCATTTTTTCTATTTCCAGATGTGGAAACTTGGGCTTGAGCAGCCAAGGGCTTATGTGAGAGAGTCAGGTGGTGATTGTGTCTGTGTGTGGGCAGGGCGGGGGGTGGGAGGCGGACAGGCAGACTTGAACCCTGAGCCCAGCTCTGAACCTGGGTCTCTTAAAAGGATACCCATCACTTCTGGGCTTCCAGGCAGCACAATGCTCAACTTTTCTGAAAAGATCTCTGTCAGAGGGGATCCCCTTTGCATGCTAGCCTGAGAGGAATAGCCATGCACAGTGCCCAAATAACCCTGCAGTCCTGACGCTTGGAGCTGAGTCAGAAAACCCAGCCCCACCAGGACAGTTATGAGCTGGAGCTGACACTTAAGTCAGTCTACATCTGATCAAAGGGCCGGCTACAGCCTTCCTAACTATCAGGAATAACTATGAGGGTCAGAGAGGGGCACGGGTATCAGAGCACCTGGAAAACCTCCCAGCATTATTCAAATGTCAAGATAATTACACTGAGTAAGCACTTTTTTTGTGTTTGGTTTGTTTTGTTTTGTTTTGTTTTTTAGCTGAGCCATCCTGCCATCTGTTGGCAGCTCAGCGGCTGCTCAGCTTGGGCCAGGACTCAAACCGCTGCTGCTCAGAGCTCAAACTCTTGAGCGAGCTCTTAACCAACTGAGCCACTCGGCTGGCCCCTGAGCAAGCACTTTTTATGTCAGGTACTGCCCGAGGTGTTTGGGTACCTGGGTCTCCATCCTCCCGACCACCTGATAAGGAGCACATTACTGTCACCATTTGGCAGATGGGGAAATGTAGGCTCCAGGAAGCGGGTTTGCCCAGAATCACCTACAGACCAAAAGACCCATGAGGACAGCCATCTTTTGTTAGCCATCATCTCTGTGCCTGGCATCGTGCCTGGCACATATCAGCTTTCAAAAACTATTTGTCAAATAAATAAATAAAAATCATATAGGTGGGCCAAGGGAGAGGCGGAATTTGAAACCAGGTCTGAGTTCAAAACTTTATTACCACCATCAGCACCATCAATAATTTCCTGGGCTTCTGTTGTTAGGCTGATAGACATGAAAGTGCCACTCTTTTAGGCCATAAACAGTCAGAGAGCGGCAGTTATATATGGTTCAATTCGAGATGTACCAAGCACTGTGTCAGGGGCCGTATGCATATTACTTCATGCAGTCCTCCTGGGAACGCTACTATTCCTATTTTACAAATGAGGAAACTGAGGTCTAGAAAAGCTGAGGAACAGCCCGGGGCACAGTAGCAATGAGTGTCCTCAAAATGGCCTCCAGGCCATCAGTCCCCAAGACCTGTGTCCTTTCCACAACTCAGCCTTACCTCCCCAAATACTATTGCTATATGACAGATAAGAAAAACCAAAGCACAAAAGGAACTGTTTGTGAGGTTCATCCTATTCTTCAAAAGTCGCAAAATTGTCACAATTCACAATTTGCCTTGGACAAAGTTTTTCCTGGCTTGTCCCATCTGAATGGTTCTGCACTAACTTACCAGCTCATTTCTCTTTCACTGGGAACAAAAATGAGCAGTAATAGGAGTTGGGGTGGGACATGGCTGGACTCGTGCTGTGAACGGTGTGCACCTCCATGAACTGAGCTGCCTGGAACAGCAGGAGGGGCACAGTGGGTTCAAATCTGGGTTCACAATGCTGAAGCTTGAGCAAACCTCTTGTCCCTCTAGGGCTTGGGCCCCTTCTCTGTAAAGTAAAGGGCTTGGGCTAGAATGATTTCCAAGGTTCCTTTCAGCTAAAACATTCTACCAGCTATTCCACATATATTGATAAGACATGACAATTATCGAACAGGTTTACTGACACTTTTGTTCCCGGGAAATGCCAGCACCTGTTTCGACAGGAAATGCATTGTTCCAGGTTCTGACACACCTGTGTATCTATCTAGCTAGAACAACCTTAGAATTGTCTACATCCAGGATCATTGAAGACATAAAAGAAATCATAACTCCTAGAATGAGTGTAATTTAACTTGATTTTTCAAGCAATGCCAAGACATGTTTCTTATTTAACTCAGGATAAAAAGTGGAAAATAAATAGTGAGCTTACTGACAGCCACAAGGCATCCTGAGTGTTTCTGTGGCCATCCCTCACCTCTCTCTCTGTCCACTGCCCCTTATTCTTTTCCTTCATGGCACTCTGGGCAAAAATGTATCCATTCACTGATTTTCTGTGGCTCATCTCACCAACTGCTGTGTGCTTCACCACCATCTCTTTATTTACCACTGTGTATCCAAGGTCAACATGTGTCCCAGAGTAGGCGCTCCATGTATACACACTATATAAATGAATACAGTGAAAGGCTACTTGTGAAAAATCCAGAATTTAGCACAAAGGACATGGGCTCTCATCCTGGTTTGTTATTCACCAGCTGAGTAACCTTGAACAAGTTACTTTATCTCCCTGGACCAAAATGTCCTCAAAGATCATGGGGAGAAATAATATCCACTCTGCCTACTTTGTAAAGTGGAGATGGTGATATGGATTAAATAGTTCATCAGGGAACACTAGCGGCCTTTTCTGATGCACTCTGCTAGATCACAGGATGGAAACCGGCCAGGTCACTCAAAGCCTCCACCAGACACAATGTCAATCTCCAAAGGGGACCAAAAAATATGACTCTGGCTTCAATTTTAAATCCACTCTGGGAGTCAACTTGCTGAAGTCGAGGCTGTGGGCTGCTGATAACCCAGGGAAGACTGGAGACCTGGAACCTGCCTGGGGGAGGACTGCCATGCTGGAAGCTTATTAGCAGGAGAGCCAAGAGACGGCAGTCCCAGAATAGATTTCTCCTGTGCTCTCATTTATAATGCCCTTGTATCTGAGCTAACACTGCTTAAGGATTCTGAGTCACATTTAGCCTTAAACCACCTTTGTCAGCATGGCCACTCTCAACCAGCCCCCCGGGAGCAAGCATTAGCAATGCATTATCGCACCACAGACTGTGCAGGCACAGAGCCCGCGGAAACATGGCCTCCCGAGGGCTCCCACCTCTCCGGGGCTTCCCGCATCGGAGCTGGAGGTCAGGCAAAGTCTTTTCAACAAAGAGCATGCACTGCAGCCTCCTTAAGAGTTTCACAGAGAGAACACACAGAGAGAAGCCGCATTACCTTGACTGCACAACAGCCCCGCACTCCAGAGCACGACAAGGAACGTAGGGTATGCGTCCACACAGTTTTGGCTGTGGAATATATAAAGAGGGAGAGGAAACCTCAGCAAGCATTTACCGCAGTGTCGTCTGAAAATGACCTGAAACCTCAAATGAATGAGCACCACAGCACACAGGGCATGAACCCCATTCATGTCAGAAACAGACAGTGGAGTAAAGCGACTTGGGTTCAGAACCCATTTGCTCTCCTCGGTGAGGCACACTGGAGACCCGGTTTCTTGATGGTCCCCTTTGGCAGAGTCCCCGCTCCTAGCTGTGCCAAAGTGCTTCTGGAATGGACAAGCGGACAACGCAGAGGCTGGGCTGTGGCAGCGATCAGTGCAGGTGGCTTTTTAGAAGCAGAGCTGGTTCACTCTTGGGGGGAATGGCCGAGGCTAGTTTGCCTGACTTGCCCTGTTTCATCTTCATAGCAGGGAAAATGGCAACTTGACTTCTGTAAGGGACAGTGGAATGCCACTGCATGGCTGACCTGCCTAACGTCCCCAAAGCGAATGAGTTGAGGCATTAGAACACAGTGTGACTGGTGACAAGGCAGGAGAAACTTCTCTCTCCAGACTGGTGGAATAGGATTAATGTTTGCATTGGATCCATGTTCAGAGAGGTTTTGATGTCGCCCTGGTCAGACACCTTCTTTATAGCTCTTGCACGTGGATGTGTGTGAAAGGAGCCCTCACCTCTCACACTGCATGGGGTTGGTTGATGGCACCTTGCATGAGTTCCCTACCCTCCTTTAAATGAATCTAAAATGGCTTCAATCACATCTTTAAATTTCTTCAGTGGATTCTGAAAAGTAATATGCTGAAGGCCCCAATGTTAAAATAGAAATCTCAGCAGTTCAGCTGAGGGTTTCCTGAGATCAGGCTGCCAGAATAGCCCTGAGCTGGAACGCTGGGTATGAGGGAGTGGGACCCGGGAACCTGAAAATCAGTGTGGGACGACCCTACCAATGTGTCCCTAAGTGGTTCAGACTGTGTACACAGCAATTTAGAAGCTGGGTGACCAACGGGGTTGATGATGAAAAGTGGCAGTGGAGAGAACCCCCCCTCCATCTTCCCCATGCCTATGCCTCTTTTTAAAAAAAATAAAAAATAGCTAGGTGAGGCAAATGACAAAACAGCAAGTGTATTGGGGCGCAACATGAAGTCCTTTGCAGTCAAGAGCCCTTGAAGTCACTTTAATTCACAGAAGCCAGCGGTACCCCTGAGTGTGGAGCCTTCTCCCCACTGCTCCCACAGAGCTCCTGACCCTTCAGGGTGACTCCCATCCTCACGTTTGCTTGTGCTGTTCTTGACAGTCTAAAGCCCTTTTCTCAGGTGGCCATGACCTTCCCCCACCCCCAACCTGGGACATCAGAGTCCCCTCCGAGCAGAGCCTGAAGGCCCTGCCCGCTCCCAGGGGAAGTCTTCCTCTCTGATGGGCCCCTGGTCTCGGGCACTGGGGAGCAGCAGGCAGCCCCTGGCTGAGCCCTCTATTTGAATCCAGTCCTCACAGGGGGAAAGTTAGAGTTGGCATAACATCCACTCACATTTGCATGCCAAATGGAAATAGCACCCTCTCCGCCATGGGGCTTTCAGGTGTTCTCAAACAGCTTTTTTATTCAAAAGCAAAGAAGAGACGGGGAAAGCCACTGCATAATTCCCACATTCTCTCTGTTCTTGTCTGGTTGTTCAAGGCGACCAGCGTTGTGAAATGTTCTGTGTCACCCCCAGACTTCCACCAAGGGGACCGCGGGGGCCACAAGTGGCAGGCTGCTGCCAGGGGTCCGGTCTGTCGCTTCTACAGCCGGAAAGTGAGGAGCAGCTGGTTCTCGTGGTGTTGCCTCTGCACTAACCCCACAGGAAGCTGGTCAACTCCGTGACTAAATGACTGGCTGCCAGGCTTTTGGGACAAGCAGGGCTGTGGAGATCTCTTCTCCCCGCCCCAGAGTCCCCACTTCCTTCCTTTTAATACCAGCACTTACTAAGACGGTAAGGGGTATCCACAAAGCCTGTCTCCTGGGAACCCCGCCTCCCTGGCATTCTGAAGGTTGACCCAGACAGACGTGTGGCCTTGAGGGCATCGTCACTCCTGTAGGGAGGCCCCTGTGACCATGTCCCCACTCTGAATCAACATTGTTAGGGTTTGGACTCACTTGGCAGTGTAGACCCGCTCAAAGGCAAGTGTCCCAGTCCTCTGGAAGCTCCGCCCAGGGTGGGTCCTGCTTTCATGTTCCACCTTGTGGGCGAAAAACCCTGTTGGGGGAAAAAGGTTTGCATTTGGTTTAGAACCGGCCCGCTCAGGAGCCTGTCATCCCACATTAAATGTTACATGTTTCCTTGACTTGACCTCTGAACAGCCCCAAATGTCCTCCATCAAATGTCATTTAGCAAAATTTTATTCAGCAGCTATTCTCTCCTAATCACTGTTTGGTGTTGGTGATGTGATTGTGAGTAAGGCATAGTGCTCCTTTCAAGGATCTTACAGTCGAAGGAAATAGACAAACAAGTAAAACAGATGTTAATCTACACTAAGATGAGGTTGAGTGAGGACACGGTGCTATCAAGGGTCAAAGGAGGCAACTTGGTTCAGAGTTTGGGTCACAGAAGGACTCCTAGAGGAGTGACACCTAGGACAAAACCTGAAGAGCCAGTAGGGATTAGAAGGTCAGGGACAACTCCACTGAGGTGGAATGGAATACACAAAGGTCCAGGGGCAAGAACTCTCCTTGGTTCAGTAAGTCCAGCTTGTGACGGGGCGTGGAACCCCATGGAATTACAAATAAGGCCAGAGAGGTAGGTGGTGAATTGTTCTTTCAGTGACATTTATCCATCATCACTTGCCACGTGCAGATACTTAACTCACATCCGAGAACAAAACACACAAGAGCCTGGGCCCAGGGAGCTTATGTTCTGGCAAGGATAGGAGACAGAGCATACACGGCAGAAAAAAGGCGCTGGTTACATTACAAAGCGTGCTGAGCTGTGGGGCAGAAGAGAAGGCACAGCAAGGACCAGCCATGTGTGGATCGTGAGCCTCGGTGAGGAAGCAGTAAGCGTGTGAGGCTTGAAGAAGAAGATTGTTGACAAGTACCCACTGGGTTGAATGGTACGACGGTGACCTTGATGGGAGCCAAGTTAAGAAATTCAGAACTTACCTCAAGATCACTGAGGAGTTATTGAAAGGCGTGAGCTGAGGGGTGTAATCAAAAAGCCACCCCGTGTTAAGTGTGGGGATGGTGGAGAGGGGCAAGACCAGGACCAGGAAGAAGATGGGAGGGAGCTGATTAGGGTGACGGCTGTGGGACAGAATCCAGACTGTTTGTCTATAGATTGCGTGTTGGGGGTGGGGAATGAAGATCTCTGCCCCTCCCCCATTTTATTCCTTTACTCCTATTTCAAAAGTGAAAAAGGGGAAAGTGAGGCTGTCAGGACCCATCTGACTTTTTCATCAACTTCAAATTAACCTCCTCAAAAGATATGGAAAGGATGTCTTATCAATCATACATCAATTTTGTACATGAGTAAAAGCCTTTCGTGGTTTTCTGTTTTGCAAAAGTGCACTCCTTCCCCAAGAATGGGCCTTTTCAAGCCCATCTCTAGGGCTGGCTCCTATGAAGGGGGGCTCTGCCATGCTGCAGGCACTCTGGTGTGCACAGAGTGACAGAGGTTCCCTTACCGAGCCTTGTGCCAACTCCATGAAGTGGGCAGAGCTGTCCCCACTTTGTAGAAAGGACACTGGCTCAGGGAGGCTAAATAACTATGTCAGCATCACTGCTGGGGAGCCGTGAAGCTGGGGCTCAGACCCAGCTGGCCCTGTTTTCTGTCACTGTCACACTGATGCTCACTGCACAGATTTCACCAGCTCCACAGGGCTTAAGTACATGTCTGTTCATGCACTTAATTCTCAACGTCTCTTCTGAGCATGGAATCCAGTAAAAAATTCTGAGCATTATCTTTCCAGACCCCAAGGTGATGTCCTGGGCTCTGAACATGTGAACTGAAGTAGTGTTAAGAAAGTCAGAGGTTATTTCTGCAACCAGCATTACAAGTTGGCTGTGCTTCCCTGAGTCTGCCCTTCTTCCTCTCTTCACTCAGAGAACAAACCCCTTCCTCTTTCCCTAGGCTTGCCCTCTACCTGTGACCTTGACCTCATTCCTGCCACCGCTCACGTCTTTATTTCATTGCTATTTTCCTCAGTCCCTGAACTTTCAGTCTCTTTTCTTTCTCCTTCTCTTTACCCTGGAAACATAGTCAGATCTTTCCTACCCTGAAAACAAAACAAAAACAAACCTGTCTCAGTCTCTAGCTATCCTTCCTTCTAAGCTAAACTTGAAAGAGTTGAGCTACCTTTGCCCTCTCCTCACCACCTCCCACAGCCCAACTCCTTGTTACCCTGAACTATGCTGCAGGAACTGTGCATGCACAGACCATTAACACACTTATCTTGGCTAGCTTGCTAGCGTTAGGCCAAACCAGAGAGAGAGATAGGGGCAGAGACCGTTCCTGAGAACTGAAAACACGCTGGGCCCTGCTAGCCACCATACCTATGTGATTTCATGCAACACCTTCAACCACCACACAAGGAAGTTATTCAAAAGTCTACTTCTCAGGTGGGGAAGCTGAGGGTCGGAGAAGTTAAATAACTTTTTCAGGATCTCATAAAACATCGTGAGATTTTAGTTAACCACAAAGTTAATATGACCTGGCAGTGTGACTTTGTAAAGACAGAAGCGGCAGGCATAACTAAGCTTTTCCAGAGACCAGAAACAGGACACATGGATAGAAGTTATAGGGCAGCTTTCAGCTCAGTATTAGAAAGTGCCTCCTGAGTGGTGAGTACTCAGGCAACTGAGGCAATATACGTAGTGTGAGCATCTACTCTTTGGAGCAGGTTCAAATCCCAGCTTCACCACCACTGGCTCTAGGCCCTCCAACCAATGGTCTAGAGTCCCACTTTGCTTCTCTGTAAAATAGGAATAATAATAGCATATATTTCACAGGGTGCAAGGACTGAATGAGACAATATTATGCCCAGCACAAGGCACTGTGCTTGCTGCAAAGCAAACCCTCACTACACTTGACAATGGGCAGGGCACGCTGAGAGGTTTGTGAGCTCTCCACTGCAGGAGTGTCGTGGTAGGAGCTGTTGAGAATGGTGTAAAGAAGAGATCTGCATTGGGGAACTCCATGAGTCTGTGAGCCAGCTTCTAGAGCCCATCAAACCCCAGGCTGGGTTGTGAGGCCTCCCAGTATGGTGCCCAAGAGCCCCATTGTGAGTGTGCGTGTTGGGGTGGGAGTAGCAGGAAAAGGTGGGTGTTCCCTACCAGCTCTATTTCCCTCCCTGTCACAATTGTCACAGACCCCTATGACTGTGGGGCCATCCTGTCCCCATTCTTGGCTTCACAGCAGGAAGAGAGTTGAGGAGGTTGTTGCTCTTTGAGACGAGAGGATGATGCTAACTCCTGTCACCCTCCCTTGCCATCAGAAGGGCCATGGGGACCGCCCTCCTGCTGGAGGTCACCTTTCCTCTGCTGTCACCAGTCACACTCAGTGCCTCTCTCCTCAGTGCATCCTATTCTTCCAATCTAATTAGCTTGGCTTCCTGTGGGAGGCACTTTCTCTGAATGTGTTCCCAGATTTGCCCCATGTCAAAATGCTGGGTGGGAGAAGTTGGAGGTTTACGGATGTTCTTTATAGGACACGCATATGTCTATACACTCCCTGGGAATCAGGCTTGGTCGGTCAGGCCCAGGTTTCTTAGAACGATGGGTTTTAAACTTGTTCTGTGTCCCCACAACTGAGTTCTGCAGGACCAAGTAGGACGAGAGCCAGATGTTCACAGCTCCTGATGACTAAAAAAGGTTGGTGAGGCAGAAGAGGAAGTTCTAGCCGGCTTCTGCGGGAACTGAGCTCACATGGTGTACCCAGAGCCCGGACACCACATGGACACACGTGGACTGGGGTGCCTTGTCTTGGGACAAAGGCAAAGTGTGCAGCACCTGGCAACCACATGTAAATATTTCTTAAAACTAACAGAAAGGGAACAGAATGACATTGGGGGCGGGGGNATATAAAAGGACAAGAGCAGAGAGAGGCTGTGAGAGTGAACCTGGTGGCTGGGACAGGTAGCCCTGGCATTTTACAGGACAGCTTTCTCTGGATAAATGACAACCCCTCGGTAGTTACACAGAAAATACAAAATTCCTGCAGTCTTCATCCCAGATGCAACAGCTATTTGGCTGTGACCAAAAGGAGTTTTTATCAAAACCTCGTGTCATGTTGAAAGAGAACATCGGCCACCATACTCGGTGGCAGCAGGGAGCTGCCTCTTAGTCAGGGGTAGGCCAGCATAGGGAAGCGATTACATGCCTCATGCTGAGATCAGCAGAGGCCAGCTTGAGTGTCCTCAGTTTCACTTAGAGAGGAAGAGGTCCATGAGGGCAGTGTGTGGTGCCAGGATCTACAAGGCCAAGGCGAGTGGCAAGGCAAGCCCAGGCTGGTCATGAATGACACTCTTGAGTACTCTCTGAATGCTTGGGGCACCTTGCAAAGCGTGGCGTTACTAAGACTGGTAGCAAGATTTGTGCACTCACCTTAAGGAGATCTCATTTGTACAGAAGTTTGGTAAGTCTCAGGGAGGCCTAGTTTACAGGAGCCAAGGAGTCTGAGCCCCACAAAGAGTTAGCCCTGCCAATACTCATCATAACTTAGTGACAATGTACCCTAAGTGAAGGCCAGACCCCTTGAAAGTGCTCTGGCTAGACCTGTGATTGCTACATTGAGGTTAATTAGAATTGCAAAGAGGGCCTCTGGACATGCACTTGGGCCTTTGTGAAAACAAGCAGAGGCATTGTCTCTCAAGTCACTGGAATTGTTCTTGTTCCCCTACAAGGCACATTTAACAGCTACAAACAAAGGTCTCAGGTGAGCTCTGTGCTTCATGGGAATCCAGGGCTGGGCCTCAGAGGGTGGCAAGGGCTCCTGTGGCTTCAAAGGGGCACTTTGTCCCTTCCCCAAGCACGAGTGGGGCAGCGCTGTACAAGGTCACTCTGCCCCCATGTGGCTGGAGCTTCTCACAGGGGGCTGGGGAGGGACAGAGGCTGTGATGAGGGGGGCCATGTGGGGACTGCCCAGCATGAAAATGTCTGCAGCCCAAAACAGTAGCTCCATGCTTGTCCACACCTGTATCTCTCCCACCAGGAAGCCTCCATCCCACCCATCAGTGGGCGGAGCTCTGTGAGCGAGGTCACTGTGTTCTGCCGTTATCTACCTTAAATAGCCTTGAGATGGGGATTAAATTTAGACATTTGGCCATCTATAATCCATCCTCCCCTCTTGAGCCTAAGAACTTCTTAGTCCCATCTGCCAAAAGTAACTAAAACTTTATCATCCAGCTCAAGTCTGCTCAGGATTTGCTCTGCCAGTACAGAAAAGCCCAGGGCCCACTCCACAGCCCAGGGCCTGGTACTGGGGCACCTCCGCTGGGAGAGATGAAGAGACTGTTGTCACAGCAGGAACCACTGCAGCTCTCCCCTGAGTTCAGCTGAGCTCAGAGGACACTGGCTCTCAGCCACTGGCACTCGTCAGCTATATTGATATAGACAAGAGCTGGAGGGGGGCCCTGCCCTGAGCTTAACCAGCACTGCCCTCCTACCCCTGCCACTGCCTGCACCGAGAGGTTATTGCAGGCCTCCTGCTTACCTTCTTGCTTGTCTTCTCCCACTGCTCTTTCCCTCCCTGGGGCATTCACTAGCTGTGCATTCACTGCTGCGTCCCCGTGTATCCGCGACACTGCCTGGCATGGAGCGGGGTCCCTGTGCATGTGTGCAGGTGGAATGAATGAATCTTTTGCTTATAAGGGAGCCCAGGAATGGCACCTGCATGAAATAGCAGTGGCTTGAGGAAACGGTGGCCTAAACAATGCAGTTGTTCCCGCCAGAGCTGTAATGCTACCGAAAACGTTTTTTGTTTGTTTGTTTGTTTTATTTTTTTTAGCTGAGCCATCCTGCCACCTGTTGGCAGCTCAGCAGCAGCTCAGTTCAGGCCGGACTCGAACCGCTGTTACTCAGAGCTCAAACCCTTGAGCGAGCTCTTAACCATCTGAGCCACTCGCCCGGCCCTGCTACTGAAAATGTTTGGGTCAGAAAGCTGTGAAGTGTCGTCCCATAGAGGTAACATCCTTGGAGTGTGCAGAGTTAGGCCTCTGGTGTAGGGGCCACAAAGAAGCCTTACTCAGTGTCCGGAAGGCTAATCACCAGGCTTTGTCCGCACTCAAGTTGGGAGAAAATATCAGAATATCCCAAATTGGTTACAAATTTAAATTCCCAAAGTGTGATGGTGTGTGAACATTCCCATTAAGTTACAGAGCTGTCCTTCGTAAGTACACTCCTGTTTTCTCGATCTTAATAATTTGCAAAACACAAAGCCACTGGGGTTACTTACAAAAAAGAGTCTAATGAGCCCTAACTCAGAAGCTTTAAGAGAAAGTCCTACATGGTCCTGCCTTGTACACGTCTGGGTGTCCTGCTTGGTGTTTTTAACTGATAGCAGGGTTAACAGAGATCTGAACCCCAAACCACAAAGTCTCCCTGCTTCTCATTTATGTAAGTATATAATGCATATGAAAACTGCTTCAGAAATTATACACTGCTAGAGAAAAAGAAAGCATTACAAAAACATGTTTCTTCAAAAGAAAGAAAACAATACAGAGAAGTAAAACAGTGATAAAGTGATTTCTCTTTCACACCCCTCAAATTTACTTTTGTTTGTTTGTTTTTTAGTCTACACTTGACAGGCAACCTCAGATACACTTGATTGAGCCCAGCTGCGGGGAGTAAAGCCCGGTGTCTGAGTGAACACATAGCTCACTTTCCCTTTCCAGGCTTCTTGCCTTCCTCTCTGGCTATGTTAATTAACAGTTAAAGTGCTGACTGCAGGCACTTCAGTGAGGGTTTTTGTAAAGCCTCCAGATTGCCGCCCTGGCACTGAAAACTTGATTAGTCATTACCATTAAAGTGAAAGAAAGGCCAGGACCAGAAAAATCCCCACATGCATGCAGAAAGGAACACACCTCTACACATTCAAACAAGAAGAAACAAACAGAGATAAAGCAAGCTGTGCACACGCACACACAGAGATCTGTGTAAGTCTGACTTTCAAGCAACAAAGACTATCTCCCTGCACCCCCTACCTGAGTGAGGTCTTCCCTTACCGTTCTGGACCACGCTGATGAGGGTGACGATGGCCAACAGGACAATATTGCCCAGCGTTTCCTGGTCCATGTCTGCTTCAGGCTGCCCAGCGAGGACTGCTCGGTGGCACCCAGACTGCACTGTGCAGAAAGGGGAAGTGAGGGCTTGCACCCTGCCTTTCATCATTAGAGTTTCCAAAGGCCCCAGCACAATTACACAGTGCCTTCTCTCTCTCTCTCTTTTTTTTTAAACTAGCCCCCAAAGTGCCCTGGCTCAGTGTGACCTGCCAGGAGAAACAGGCTCAATGGAGGAACAGGAAGGAAAGAAAAAATAAAACTTGTTTTAAATTTATAGCACACCAAAAAATCTGTGCCATGAGTACTGTCATTCTCTCCTTGAATTTCTAGGAGAAAAAGAACACTTAACACATGGCAGGGTCCACAGTAGCAGCCACATAATAAGGGCTGGATGAATGAATGAATGAGGAGGAGGGACAGCTGATGTCTCCATTTCTATAAAATAAAGCAACAAGAAAATTAAAGCTCAAAGAATTGAGAAAAGTGGCAGAAATGGGGTTATAGATGAACCCCAAAGGAAACTTCCAAATAAGAAGTGCTGTTAAACACTGCGACTGGCTCCCCAGAAGTAATTATGGAGAACCTTCCCTGGGGTTTTCTCAATATAATGATAAGGAAAACCATCAAAATATTCTCTGTATCTATGAATTTGTTTCTGTTTCGTTTGTATAGTGCTAGGTGGGTACTGTTGAATAACTGTGATGTACACCTGAAACTAATGTAATATTGCAATATTGCATGTTAGCTGTATTTTAATAAAAATCTTTTTTAAAAAAATACAAAAAAAAATATATATATATATATATATATATATATATATATATATATATATATATATATATATAAAAGGACAAGAGCAGAGAGAGGCTGTGAGAGTGAACCTGGTGGCTGGGACAGGTAGCCCTGGCATTTTACAGGACAGCTTTCTCTGGATAAATGACAACCCCTCGGTAGTTACACAGAAAATACAAAATTCCTGCAGTCTTCATCCCAGATGCAACAGCTATTTGGCTGTGACCAAAAGGAGTTTTTATCAAAACCTCGTGTCATGTTGAAAGAGAACATCGGCCACCATACTCGGTGGCAGCAGGGAGCTGCCTCTTAGTCAGGGGTAGGCCAGCATAGGGAAGCGATTACATGCCTCATGCTGAGATCAGCAGAGGCCAGCTTGAGTGTCCTCAGTTTCACTTAGAGAGGAAGAGGTCCATGAGGGCAGTGTATGGTGCCAGGATCTACAAGGCCAAGGCGAGTGGCAAGGCAAGCCCAGGCTGGTCATGAATGACACTCTTGAGTACTCTCTGAATGCTTGGGGCACCTTGCAAAGCGTGGCGTTACTAAGACTGGTAGCAAGATTTGTGCACTCACCTTAAGGAGATCTCATTTGTACAGAAGTTTGGTAAGTCTCAGGGAGGCCTAGTTTACAGGAGCCAAGGAGTCTGAGCCCCACAAAGAGTTAGCCCTGCCAATACTCATCATAACTTAGTGACAATGTACCCTAAGTGAAGGCCAGACCCCTTGAAAGTGCTCTGGCT